AGGGTGCGGGATGACGGCCATGGTGTTTGAGGCCAAAAACTGCCGAACTTTGAGGGCGGTGTGCGCTGGCGCGTTGTCATGATGCAGCAGCCAGTTGTGGTTGCGCCACTTTGCCGGCCGCTTCCGTCTCACATCTTCACGCAACCGCCTCAGGACCCCACAGTAAAATTCAGCATTGACCGTCTGACCTGCAGGAAGAAACTTCCTATGGACGATCCCCTCCTGGTCGAAAAACTAACTAGTAGTAACTAAATTTAGCTTTTTTCGTCAGTCGTAGGAATTGAGTTACAGTACTTATTGATATCACTAGTGAAACAGAGCAGAAGAAAATTCCATCATTTGAAACTTTTAGATGTGCAATAATTATCTGATTCTTATTTGTCTCTGATACGTCACACAAAGACATTCGTGTAGTTCTTATTTATTATGTACTCCTCAAGGGAAGTAATTATTATACATGTTGGTTATCCTGATATGCAGTCACAGTATAACTACTTCTGCTCATGCTCGGAAGAACAAATTTTAGCGCCTTTACGTATGATGCTTGAAATGTAAACATAGGATTTTGTTCAGTATTTAAAAATGATGACTAGTGTATCTGAATATGAATTACTCCGCAACAAAAATGTAAAAGAAAGGGAAGCATTAGTAAGTACGGAATAATGTATTTTTGGATTATAGATTACTGTATCTTTTAAGGAGTACATTTCTGCTAATTTTGGACTGTTTTTTGTATCCTTTAAAATACCCACCAAGTTATGGGGCGACATGTAATTATATTGGAGTGTATTAATATCTTTCACACGTTTGTTCTCATTCGTATGTTTGCAAAGTCTTATTCGTCTGGATAAGTTGTTAGGCGAATGAATCACGTGTTTTGGCCTTAATTGTTCTTCAACGTTATTGTTTGCAGTTTTCTACATTGTTCAAGGAGTTAAAAGATCTAAGTGAACCACTCAAGAAATCAGCCCAGGTCAACTCTTTTAATTTATCTCGGGAAGGAACAGCTCCAAGGCAGCGTCACACTTATTTTAATGTCTTTCCTACAACACGCTCTGTTCGGATTAGACGTTCAGCAAGACTTAAACGGTTAGTTCATGAATAACTGTAAGATTGAAATAGACTTTCAGTTTGCTTTGCCATGTTTTGTGCTTGCATCATTTTTTGTTGATTTTATTATAACCTTAGTGCTTAATGCCTAGTTTTATGTTCCATTTTAATTTGCTTGATTAGTATGTAATAAAATACACATATAGTGGTGTCCAACATTCTGAGCATATAAGTCTCACTTTTTGTGAGCCGTTTATGTTCAGAGGCTGTTTCCTAAATTTTTTTGTTTGTTTTGTTTATCTGTATCACCTGCAGAATTTCTGTCATAATGACACATACATATTGTAGGTACTTACTAAAATAATGGATCGAGTGACATTAAATATAACTGGGGTGTGAAAGGTCATATGCATCTGATAAAACCTATGCTACCTTAATGCCATCTGCACCTTCATGTATAAGGCCTAGTGAGAAAATCATGGACCTATAACCATAACATTTGGAGTGAAGGAAATGCCACTTCCGTACAATGGATTAAGCTTTATTTTATTTTTTGACAACATTCATTTCTAACTAGTGCAGTTGAGTTGATATAAATAATTAATTAGTTGGTGATAACATTTTGTATTTGTTTGGTTATATATTAATTTCTGTAAACTGTGATGACTGCTTATTGATCAGCAGTTAAGGATATGAATGAAGTATCTATTATGAACTGTTATAGGCTGAAAGATGATGAATATGTCTGTGATGAAGAAGATAGTGATGAATCAGATGAAGATGATTATGTCAGTAATGACAATCTGGATATGAAAAATCGTCTGATTGTGTGCTTTCCATGTCAGTACAAGTTCAGAGTGGATATTTCCTGTAATGAAGTTATTGATGTGTGGGAAGGAAATGAGAGTGAGGTAAGTGCTAGATTTCTAAATGGGTTAGCTTTTAAATAATAGCGCTAAAAGTTTTATTTAATTAATTAGTAGTAAGATTTTATTGGTGTCTAAACAATTATGAAATATTCTCCTACGTTTTGCAAACTGCTACCAATAAATGTGAAGCATATTACTGGAGATTGTAATTATCCAATTGCTACAGGTGTAGAGAAACTTCCAGTCTTCATGTAGTGTATTGTCATGTTCTACCTGTAGAAATCTAGTAGCAGCTAAAGACAGGAAAGCCTTCTAGCAAATTTTGGACTTCTATGCTTGAACATTGTTACATATGAAATTTCTTATATCATTTATAGCCTGTGCAAATATATTTTTCAGGTATCCAGGATTTTCATTTATTATAAAGATAAGTTCTTAAAGGTTTTAATATTTTGTCATTGTACATTGTTGTGTTAAGTAATTATGCGTTTCATTTCATGTCTTTCAGGAGTACACACCCCATAGCTTTCACAGAAAAGTGTAGAATGTTAAACTTTAGACGTTTGTGATGTTCTCACAGGAATCATCAGGCGAGGAAGAGCTCTTACCTCAGAGACAGATCAACAGACGCTTGGCAGATGTACCAGTTGTCCTTAACCCTGAGGAGGTGACAGAAGCTGACATCAGAAATGTTGCTCAGAAAAGTGGGGGAAAGACATATTCTTCAGAACATGGCACATGCTGTCATCAGTGCAGGTAGTATATATTTATAGACAAGCCATTTGTATGCCCATTTATTCAGTATCAATACAAGATGAAGACCAGATCAAAGAAAGAATCCAGTAATGAAAATATTTGGACCTAGCAGAGATTATTTCAGAGTAAGGAGTAAATTACACAGTAAGGAGCTTTACAGTGTGTACTGTTAACATAATATCATAAGGGTGATTAAGGGATAGTTATTTGTAATTTTTTTATACAGATACTCACTACACACTGTATTAATTGAAACTGAGTAAATATGGAACTTAATTACTAAATCTGTTACTCATGTCTGCATGCAGGCAGAAAACATTGGACACCAAAACAATGTGTCGATCTGGTAGCTGTGTGGGTGTTCGAGGTCAGTTCTGTGGGCCGTGCCTCAAGAACAGATATGGAGAGAGTGCTGAGAAGGCTTTGAAAGATCCGGTAACACACTACTTTGATTATTACAATATATAGATGCATTATATATCTTGACATTTCACAGGTAAATGAAACAGATGAAAGTTATTGCTCTTAGAATGTCTTATTTTTACCTTTATTGTGCTTAGTGACAAAATTGTCTTCTGCAGTGCCATTGGCTAAACTGCTGAACACCTGTGTATAAAATGTTGCCACTATCCATACTGCTGTACAGTATGGTATTTATACTCTTTGATTTTTGAAAAAGTTTGTACTTTGTTGGGATTAATATTTCATCAGTTTCTTTTACAATGTTTGACAAAAACACTTTCAGTAGACAGCAAGAGAAAGGGCAGTATAGGATGTAAAGTAATTTTGTGCTTACAGGACTGGGCTTGTCCACCATGCCGTGGATTGTGTAACTGTTCCATTTGTCGTACAAGGGAAGGTAAAAGACCAACAGGAATTTTGGTTCCATTTGTTAAAAGCGAAGGTTACAGTAGTGTGAAAGAGTACCTGCAGTTTGAAGAAGAATGACACAGTATTAATAGATACGCACTTAGATATACTTACAGCATTTGTTGTGATACATATCTTTGTACTGAATTGTTTCTGTGTTGCCATATTTTAATGAACAATGTACAGTCCCTTTATTTTTATAAGATCTGCATTTTTAGGAGGACAGGCTATAAATTATTATTCACATCATTCTTTGGTTTTGAATGGAATGGGCTTAGTGTAATACAATGGATAACATTGTACTTAAGACAGAGACTGAAGAATCTTTGAGTTAACTATTTTCTTAAACATGACACCATGAGCATATAAATCTAATGGCATAATTTATGAAGGGGTGAGAACTTTTTAGATACATATTAGAAATTACTCATGTTGCATAAGTTTAATATAACACGTGCTAATTTTATTGGTAGTTATCATATGCTTCACAGGTTCTCAATGAGTTCATTAGCACTGTAAACATCTTTAACTAATCCCAGTAAACGATAGTTGGCTGAACTAAATGCTGTCTCCACCTTGGAGATTTATGTGAGGCAATCACTTCACTTCATGTAGTAAGATATACCCACTCATAACTTGCAATGTATTTCATGTGTAGCATTTTTCTTGCTGCTTTCATATTCTGCACGTGAATTCTTTAACTGCAGGACATATGCAGACATACTACAGATATCAGTAGAAAATCAGCATCTGGCCCTAAATTAAAGAAGTCTAGTTTACCAGCACTGAATAGAACATAAATATTAAATATGAATATGAAATAACAGTGATTTTGTTATTGAAATTGCAATCTTAAATAAGATTGTTGTGCTGATATCAGATTCTGTTAAACATTTACTTTTATAAAATGTATTAAAAATGTTTACATATGTATGCTGATAGGTTCCGTGCCTTGTCCTGACTACCATGTTACCAGAGACATATCATTTCTGTAAATCAGTGTGTTTTGAAAATTTAATTAATTATGCAGATTCACATGTCAACTATGCTGTTGACATAAATGTAGTACTTAATCCATTTATTTTCTAATTACATTTTGTCAGAAAAGAATTTCTTCCATGTCATTCCATACATTTTAGGGAAGGTTTATATCCATAAATCCCCCCCCCCCCCCCCCCCCTGTCGGGGATCGAATCACGGTCGTCCGTAGCCAGTTACTATACCAACTGAGCTACTTTGCTAGACAGTTTTGTTAACTGCAACTACAGATGTTTTCATGTAATGCAGTGAATAAATTAAAAACTTATGCCTAAAAAACTCCTATTCATTTGTCCACTAGAACCATTTTGGCTGTGATCGACTCATTTGATTCTAATGAAAAAGTGTCTCCTTTAGAAGTTGTCTAAAAGGTGCTTAATGATAGCATATCTGGTAAAAATAACGCCCTGACACGTAGTGTCATGCTGAGTACTTGGCCAGTAATGCGTAACAGTTATAAACAGTATCATAACAAACAAGCCTACACAGTGTTTCGGAAGTTGTCTTTATTTATGTGGTTGGTAACACACTGAAGTTCCTGCCCTTCCAACACTTGATGGTCTTCCTAATCGTTGCAATCGATTGCTTAGAACTCCTACTACGTGTTCTGAAGATCCGTTGGTTTCCTAAAATTGCCTCCGTAAAATTTGATGGTAAAAGAAACCACGATCGGTTCTTTACACTTTTTCGAAGTTCATCAATCACTGTCGTCGTCGTCATTATCATCATCATCATTCGATGTTGTGTAAATTCTGCAGCTGAAGAAACGCTGTTAATTAAACTACGAAACCAGCTGATCTCATCTTGACTTTCTGTTTCCCGATTGGATGCCGAAGACGGACTTGTAATGCTCTCGACAGCTGTCACCAAGCTACGGCTGTCCATGTGTCACGCTGATATGACTACGCGTTAATGAGTGACGTCCGTCTGCGTACACAAATGCGGTTTCCGAATTCTGATTCCCGAGTAATTTAAACATTCCTTCCGTTGAAAATAAACAAGGCTGTGGTAGGGGTAGTGATGACAATGGTGCGTACTTTCCAATTATGCAGTACTGAAGTGTACCACAGCCGTCGATGTGATTTACAATTTAAATTACACCACAGCTTAATGCGTCAGAATCTGCTTTGCCGCTTGCAAAACTTCTGAGAACGTACGCACCTGTTCCGATAGAATATTATTGTATCATAACAATCCATGGGAAACATAAAATTTAGAAACATAATTTTGACTAAACAGCTGAAAATTATATCATGTGTTTCCTGGTGCTGTTACCGCATTTTATAGGCAGGTTCAAGCCATCCAATATGGATAGCACAAAATATATCAAATCATAACTTTTTATGAAACATGATATGTAATGTGCACATAAATCTCCTTACAAAATTAACACATTATCTACTGCCCCGTCAGTCCCTTTATGCGGTGTGGATCTGTGCTAGTACATCTCATACACAATTTGCCTACCTTCCTGTCCCTATTTATTTATGATTGTGACCTGGGCCATTCTCAAAGCTGTTATTTCGCAACATTCAACAATAACTTGTGAACTGTCGGTGGGAGAGGAGTTTCCTCACGTAACGGAAAGCAAAGGAAAAATAAAGACAATCTTGTGTACAGAAATATCTAAAACCCAAGTTCATAAGGCGTTTTCTTAGTTATTTCTAATCCCTTGGAGGCTACTGGTTTCTAGGACGACTGAAAGCATAACATAGCAACTGTAAACAAATATTCTTACGACATCTTTATCAAAATCTACAGTTAAAACAAACTTCTTCCTCCTCGGCCATGATTTTTCCGACGTTGAGCAAGAAACTGTTGTTCAGTGGAGCGGTTTTTGCTGGCGTTCGCCCTGTAATACTATTTGTAACCAAAGGACACAACATTCCTACTGTACCAACTGTGGCAGGGTCCATATAAGACTCAAATCAGTTCTTCACGCAGATACAATAAGACTGTGATCGTATGCTAGTTACAATTATCTCTGATAAATGGTAACGTGGGTAATATGCAACACGTTTCGAGGCAAAGCTCCTAGATCAGTAAGTACAGAGGACCTAGGACCCAGCGGGTAAGAATGTTAGCGAAAGGTTAATTGGTACGGCCCCGGGGGTTAAAACCTGGTTTGGAGCAAGATTCGGGGAATTATCCTTAAGTTTTTCTAAGGGAGGATGAGCACCAGAGGTGGCTTCGCCCCATTGGAGGGCCGAAAACCTGGGGGCAGTTTGACCCATGATGATAGTCCTCGCAATTTATTTTGCATGATTATCCACTACTTTGTTCGACCCCATATAGTCCCTACCTGTGCCTATTTTAATATCTCACGAAGTAAACAAGTAGCAACTTTAGCATGCCGGTTATTATGAGATGCAATAACAGTTAAACCGTTCTTGCAGTCATTTCCGTATTTTAAAGCAGGGGTTCTCACCCTTTTTCGCTGACGTACCACTAAATCTAATTTAACGCATTAAATGTACCAATAACCAAATGCATTCAGGGAAAACGTATTTATGTTAATATTATATTTTAATTGTCTACTTAGTTCGCGTACCACCCAGCATTGGCTCGCGTACCACCAGTGGTACGCGTACCATAGGTTGAGAAACGCTGTGTTAAAGCATACCACATTTCCATATTATTTTAAAATATATTCTATAATATTCCTGTTTGTATTGCTTTCCGTGGTTAGAGTGATAGTCTTGTGTCTCACTTCAAGGAAGATTTCTGTTACAACACCTGTGACGATACAAACACTTCACCCTGCTTTCACTCCATGATTAGAAAGCCTAATTAGTTAGGAATCCTAATTGTATTGCCTGTGCCTTTGAACTTGTGCACGTTCTTAGGCTTTGTGTGGGTGTTATAAGTCCTGGAGAAAGAAAGGAATGTGGAGTAGTGTTTCTCAAGGATCCTCATCCCATGAGAAGTGTAGCTGAGACCGTTCTCTGTACTTCAAAGCAGTGGTTGCCACACAACAATAAATTTATAGAAATAAACATATCTGAACATGTGAATATAGAAATAATCAGACTGACGTCTTGTAGGCGTGCGTTCATACACATTGTGTCCCTTGTACTTTGTTACTTCTTTCATTTACTCGCTAAATGAAAACGTAAGTTAAAATTCGCTGCGGTAAAGACCGATGTTTTTGTTTTGATTTGTAACGCCGCAAAGACTTGTACGTAGATACGAACGTTTCGGGGAACATACTCTTTGCATGTTCAGGGTGTTTTTATACATTTAATTAAGTCCCATTCGATATTACAACTCACGTCATCTATTCTTCTTAAAGTTATATAATCTGAAAATTCAGCTATTTTGATAACCTCATAAGTTATTATCACCAATAAGAACATATAAAGCTACAGTAAAACCCCTCTAGTTGGACACCCCTATATCCTGGACACCCCTCTATATTGGACACTTTTAATTTGAACCGGCGGACATCCTATAATTTTACATATCCACAATATCCTATATCTTGGACACCCCTTTATCCTGGAACTTGGTCACGCCTTTTGTTGTAAGTTGGACAGATGCATGCATGCACTTAGCTTTAATACTTTTATGGGAAATGTTTGCAGTTAGTATTTTGTTGTTTTGAATTTATGATTTATGAATGCCTTCTACCTGCGGATTACCTTATGGTTGAAGGTGTGATACATTGAGCACATCATTGGAATGCAGCGAAAGTGTATAGTTATTCTTTTGTTGAACCCTTCACTGGATTTTTAACTATATCAGTACTGTGCTTGCAACTGAGTTAAACAGTGTTAACAGAAATTGGAATGGTATGCTTTCGCTCATAACCAACAAGGAATGGTTGAAACTTTATTCGGATTGTGACGAAAATTCGAAAGGGGATGGCAAATTCCAAGATAAAAGCAAAACAGCAGTGTCTTGTCATGGACTTTTTTACAAGAAATAAGTGACATGATATGTTGAGCTACTGCCGTAAAAATCTAATTTACCCTTTTGATTTTTCTTATCAATAATTTCCTTTTTGGGAAGGGCTCCATAATACTTTACAATTACCACATTGTAATTACACCACAATTTGAAAGGATAATTTTTCCCTTTCCCTCTATCCTGGACACCTCTGGAAGTTGGACACATTATCATGGAACCGCAAGTGTCCAAGTTAGAGAGGTTTTACTGTATCTGTATTCTATGCAAGGTATGATGCGAATTTCACCAAAGGCATGGGATTTACCGCAACGAACTGTATGGCATTTCACTTTATGAAATTTCCATTGTCATCTTTAATGACAGACCGCAGATTAGTTTGAGAATTCTTCAATTCTTCACTCATAGACCCCTTTTAAGAGAGGCAGGATTTGTTTGTCTGTGCAGTCGCTATGCTTCGTGTGTAAGTGCCGTTGTAATTTTGCAGAAACGATGTTTCTTAAAGTTCAATAACTTTACGTACTGGGCATGAGGTTCATTGGAATCACCAACACACGTGCATCCGCATTGGAGGTAGCTGTGATTCTGTTTATGTTAATTTTGAAAATTATTTCTGTTAACTGAAGATCGTTTGGTTCCATATGTTTCATTATTGACGTGTAATTCGTCTTTATATATGTATATACTGGAGACCTCCCG